CGCGACTTGCCAGAATGCCTTGCGCATGCGACGGGCCGGCACTCATCTTCTGCTCCGCAGGCGGGGACCAGTTGGCTTCAGCCGGTGGAGTCGCAGGCATCCCGCCGCGATTTCCTGGCGAGGTCCGTCGGGCACGTGGACACGTCGCTGGACACGCGGCTACGGAGTTTAGCAGCGAAGGTGGATTATGCGGTGGAGGCAATGCTCTTCGCAAGAGATTACGCTCTTCGGAGGCCACGACGAGAAGAAGAAGAAGAGCAGCAGCAGCAGCAACAACAACACCTGACCTCTACCTCACCGCTTAGGGATGAAACTTCCCGTGGGAGAGACCGCCGCCTTGCCGCGGAGTGCGTCGTGAAGCTGATGGAAGCCGTGACTCTGCTGAACGATGCATTGCAGACTGTCGAGCCGATCACTTCAGGGGATGCCACCGGCGTTGTGGGCCATGAGAAGAACTGCCGACTCGCGAAGCACCTGAGGAAGCAGCGGGATATGCTGCACCTTCTGCTGGAGGAGATGCGGGATGTGGACACGTCGGGGCGGCGGCGTATGGCCTCTGCGGCCGTCCTTCTGTGTGACCCTCTCACTGAGCCTCTTGCGACCGCCGTAGCGGAGCGGCTGGGCACGGTGTTGGAGCGTCTTCAACGCGGGGAGCCGTCTCGCACGAGCCATTCAACTGGCCACGCTGGCGGTGACGCTGGGGTTCTAAAGGGCGACAAGATCACTTCCTTCACATCGCCCCCACCTCGGATTCCTCGAGGAGTAAAAAAAGATGATGATTGTGAAGTGGCAGCGAACGGTAGCGCCACGCGTCAAGTTTACTTGAATGGAGGAATCCGTGGGCCAATCCCACGCCACACATTTGGTTTTACTGGGGGGCGCCTACAGGTGTCAAACAACGGCACACGTCTGCAGCGCCTGTTGCTTCCAAGTTTATTGGACACCATGACGGTCTCCGCGCTCGGGGCACTGGACCACCGAACAGTTCTCACTGCGCAGCAGTCTGCTGCTCCGTCGTGTTTCGAGTACACAATACGGGTGTGTATGCATTGCGATGGTCTGCTTGTAGGGTTTGCTGACCGCTATCTGCCTCTGGAGGGGTTTGGTCCGGCGCAGAACTCATTGCGGTACACAAACTGCTACTATCTGCATTTGGGCCGCGGCACTTTATTTTGTCCGGCGCAGGGGATGGTGGACGTGCCTTACCCTGCGTTTCAGCGCGCTGCTCCTGGCATCACCACGAAGGAACCGCTGAGTCACTGTAACAACAACAAGGATGGCGCAACTACTAATAATACTACTAATACAAATAATAATACAGCTGCTGTGCGTATCGGTGAGGAGATCAGCTGCTCTCTTGACACGGTGACGCGGACGATACGGTTCCGTCGGGACGATGTTGACTGTGGCGTTGCCTTTGAGCGTGTCAGCCTGAATCGATCGCTTTTTCCTGCTTTTGAGGTGAACTCACGGGGCTGTACGATAGAGTTCGTATGAGTGGAGAGGAGAAGGGGGGTAAAAGGCGGGATGGATGGAAAAGCACTGCTGGATTCCTTTTGTTTTTGGGTTCCTCTTTTTTTTTTACGACTTCTCTTTCTTACTTCATTTTTCTCTCTGTACATTATTTCTCTTTGGCGTAATGGGAGGCACTGAGGGATGAATTGAGAGGATTTCAAGCCACAGACGACGGATTTAAAAAGGTAGTGTGAGGGAAGATCTCTTTGCGACTGGATCCTTTTTTTTTTCTTTTTTGTACTTTTTTTTGTTTCTTCTTTTTTTCTTTTGGCTTGCAGCAGGATGACTGCATCGGTGCCGTTTTCTTCTCTCTGTCTTTCTTAGTGCACGTGTGTTGTGCGTGTTCCGGATGGCCCGA